AAACACTTTTTTCCTTGCCCATACCTTGTAAGCCTTCAGCCATGGTTGGAATTTAGAAAAAAACATTTTTTTCTTTGCCTATACTTTCTAAGCCTTCTGCCAGGGTTGAAATTTGGAAATAATTATTTCTTTCTTTGCCCTTACTTTCTAAGCCTTCATCCAACGTTGAAAGTTAGAAAAAAAGATTTTTTTCCTTGCCCATACTTTGTAAGCCTTCAGCCATGGTTGGAATTTAGAAAAAAACATTTTTTTCTTTGCCCATACTTTCTAAGCCTTCTGCCATGGTTGAAATTTAGTAATAATCATTTTTTTCTTTGCTCATACTTTCTAAGCCTTCAGCCATCTTTAAAATTTAGAAAAGAACACTTTTTTCTTTGCCCATACTTTCTAAGCTTTCAGCCATGGTTGGAATTAAGAAAAAAACATCTTTTTCTTTGACCATACTTTCTAAGCCTTCTGCCAGGGTTGAAATTTGGAAATAATTATTTCTTTCTTTGCCCTTACTTTCTAAGCCTTCATCCACCGTTGAAATTTAGAAAAAAAGATTTTTTTCTTTGCCCATACTTTGTAAGCCTTCAGCCATGGTTGGAATTTAGAAAAAAACATTTTTTTCTTTGCCCATACTTTGTAAGCCATTAGCCATGCTTGAAAAATTGAAAAAAAATATTTTTTTCTTTGCCCATACTTTCTAAGCTTTCAGCCATGGTTGAAATTTGGAAATAATCATTTCTTTCTTTGCCCATACATTCTAAGCATTCAGCCATCTTTGAAATTTAGAAAAAAACACTTTTTTCCTTGCCCATACCTTGTAAGCCTTCAGCCATGGTTGGAATTTAGAAAAAAACATTTTTTTCAATGCCCATACTTTCTAAGCCTTCTGCCAGGGTTGAAATTTGGAAATAATTATTTCTTTCTTTGCCCTTACTTTCTAAGCCTTCATCCACCGTTGAAAGTTAGAAAAAAAAATTTTTTTCCTTGCCCATACTTTGTAAGCCTTCAGCCATGGTTGGAATTTAGAAAAAAACATTTTTTTTGCCCATACTTTCTAAGCCTTCTGCCATGGTTGAAATTTGGTAACAATCATTTTTTTCTTTGCTCATACTTTCTAAGCCTTCAGCCATCTTTAAAATTTAGAAAAGAACACTTTTTTCTTTGCCCATACTTTCTAAGCCTTCAGCCATGGTTGGAATTAAGAAAAAAACATCTTTTTCTTTGACCATACTTTCTAAGCCTTCTGCCAGGGTTGAAATTTGGAAATAATTATTTCTTTCTTTGCCCTTACTTTCTAAGCCTTCATCCACCGTTGAAATTTAGAAAAAAAGATTTTTTTCTTTGCCCATACTTTGTAAGCCTTCAGCCATGGTTGGAATTTAGAAAAAAACATTTTTTTCTTTGCCCATACTTTGTAAGCCATTAGCCATGCTTGAAAAATTGAAAAAAAATATTTTTTTCTTTGCCCATACTTTCTAAGCCTTCAGCCAGGGTTGAAATTTGGAAATAATTATTTCTTTCTTTGCCCATACTTTCTAAGCTTTCAGCCATCTTTGAAATTTGGAAAAGAACACTTTTTTCTTTGCCCATACTTTCTAAGCCTTCATCCACCGTTGAAATTTGGATAAAATCATTTCTTTTTTTGCCCATACATTCTAAGCCTTCAGCCATTTTTGACATTTTGAGAAAAACACCTTTTTCATTGCCCATACTTTGTAAGCCATCAGCCATGGTTGGAATTTAGAAAAAAACATCTTTTTCTTTGCCCATACTTTCTAAGCTTTCAGCCATGGTTGAAATTTGGAAATAATCATTTTTTTCTTTGCTCATACTTTCTAAGCCTTCAGCCATCTTTAAAATTTAGAAAAGAACACTTTTTTCATTGCCCATACTTTGTAAGCCTTCAGCCATCTTTGAAATTTAGAAAAGAACACTTTTTTCTTTGCCCATACTTTCTAAGCCTTCATCCACAGTTGAAATTTGGATAAAATCATTTCTTTTTTTGCCCATACTTTCTAAGCCTTCAGCCATCTTTGACATTTTGAGAAAAACACCTTTTTCATTGCCCATACTTTGTAAGCTTTCAGCCATGGTTGGAATTTAGAAAAAAACATCTTTTTCTTTGCCCATACTTTCTAAGCTTTCAGCCATGGTTGAAATTTGGAAATAATCATTTCTTTCTTTGCCTATACATTCTAAGCCTTCAGCCATCTTTGAAATTTAGAAAAAAACACTTTTTTCCTTGCCCATACTTTGTAAGCCTTCAGCCATGGTTGGAATTTAGAAAAAAACATTTTTTTCTTTGCCCATACTTTCTAATCCTTCTGCCATGGTTGAAATTTGGAAATAATTATTTTTTTCTTTGCTCATACTTTCTAAGCCTTCAGCCATCTTTAAAATTTAGAAAAGAACACTTTTTTCCTTGCCCATACTTTGTAAGCCTTCAGCCATTGTTGGAATTAAGAAAAAAACATCTTTTTCTTTGACCATACCATCCACCGTTGAAATTTAGAAAAAAAGATTTTTTTCCTTGCCCATACTTTGTAAGCCTTCAGCCATGGTTGGAATTTAGAAAAAAACATTTTTTTCTTTGCCCATACTTTGTAAGCCATTAGCCATGCTTGAAAAATTGAAAAAAAATATTTTTTTCTTTGCCCATACTTTCTAAGCTTTCAGCCATGGTTGGAATTAAGAAAAAAACACTTTTTTCTTTGCCCATACTTTCTAAGCCTTCATCCACCGTTGAAATTTGAATAAAATCATATCTTTTTTTGCCCATACATTCTAAGCCTTCAGCCATTTTTGACATTTTGAGAAAAACACCTTTTTCATTGCCCATACTTTGTAAGCCTTCAGCCATGGTTGGAATTTAGAAAAAAACATCTTTTTCTTTGCCCATACTTTCTAAGCTTTCAGCCATGGTTGAAATTTGGAAATAATCATTTCTTTGTTTGCCCATACATTCTAAGCATTCAGCCATCTTTGAAATTTAGAAAAAAACACTTTTTTCCTTGCCCATACCTTGTAAGCCTTCAGCCATGGTTGGAATTTAGAAAAAAACATTTTTTTCTTTGCCCATACTTTCTAAGCCTTCTGCCAGGGTTAAAATTTGGAAATAATTATTTCTTTCTTTGACCATACTTTCTAAGCCTTCTGCCAGGGTTGAAATTTGGAAATAATTATTTCTTTCTTTGCCCATACTTTCTAAGCCTTCAGCCATCTTTGAAATTTAGAAAAAAACACTTTTTTCCTTGCCCATTCTTTGTAAGCCTTCAGCCATGGTTGGAATTTAGAAAAAAACATTTTTTTCTTTGCCCATACTTTCTAAGCCTTCTGCCAGGGTTGAAATTTGGAAATTAATATTTCTTTCTTTGCCCATACTTTGTAAGCCTTCAGCCATGGTTGGAATTTAGAAAAAAACATCTTTTTCTTTGCCCATACTTTCTAAGCTTTCAGCCATGGTTGAAATTTGGAAATAATCATTTCTTTCTTTGCCCATACATTCTAAGCCTTCAGCCATCTTTGATATTTATAAAAAAACACTTTTTTCCTTGCCCATACCTTGTAAGCCTTCAGCTATGGTTGGAATTTAGAAAAAAACATTTTTTTCTTTGCCCATACTTTCTAAGCCTTCTGCCAGGGTTTAAATTTGGAAATAATTATTTCTTTCTTTGACCATACTTTCTAAGCCTTCAGCCATAGTTGAAATTTCAATAAGAAATTTTTTTTCTATGTTTAAAGTATGGAATTAGCTCATTAGCAATACTTGGTCAGCTTTTAGCAGTATGCCCGAGACAAAAGTTCGAGCCTACTTTGAACTTTACTTTGAGCCTACAATTCTCTTCTCTCTGACAAGCTCATAAAATTTTTTTATAAAGAGTACTATAATAGAGAAATGGACCTAAAGAGCCTACAATCAGCCTACATTGGGTCTCTTTCGTCCATTTTCTCCTGCTTCAGGTTGATTTTAGGAAGTGTAGGTTCAAATTTTCAGTATCAAAAAGGTCGAATGGAGGGTTGTTAGTAAGAATATTGTAGGGCTGTTTAGGAAGATTTTACTCTCAATAGGATCATTATAGGTATTATGATGACCTTCGGAAATCTGTGGTCCCTTGCTTGATTTACGACCCTGTTGTAAATTAATGCTGATGACTTTTTTAATTAAAATATAATATTAATAAATATTAATGTTACATTACATTTAATAATGTATTTGAAATCTTTGAATTTTTCTGATTCCAGTGATATGTTGTTCGACTTAAAAGTATGGAAAATAAATTATTGTTATTATTGTTAAAAAAGTATTTTCTAAATTTTTAAGTCGAACAACATACCACTACAATCATAAAAATTCAACGATCTCAAATATAATATTAAGTATTATGTAAAATTAATATTATTAATATTATATTTTTATAAACAAATGTCACCAGCATTTATTTACAATAGGGTCATAAAAGAAACAAGGCACCCAGCGATTCTAAAGATTTTCGAAAATTTTTTTTCCCATTCTTGATTTTTGACCCTATTTTGTATTTTATATTTGTTAGTAAATATATAATATTAATAAATATTAATGTTACATAATACTTAATATTATATTTCGAATCGTTAGATTTTTCTGATTCTAGCGATAGGTTGTTTGACTTAAATATATAGAAAATTCAATATCAATATTCTCTATTCAAAAGTATGGAATAATAATAACAATAATTTATTTTTCATCCTTTTAAGTCACACATCATACCGTTGTAATGTAAGGGATCCCAGTTTTCTTTTGGTTTCATTCCTGCAGCCTTAATGAAAAAACTTTCCATATCGAAAATTTTGTGGAGTTTAAGAATGTATGATTTTACGATGAAAAGGTGATTAAAATAAAAAAAAGAATTTTCAGGTTTTGACATTTTTTTAATAATACTATATTTTTACAGTATGAGTAAATTATTTTTTATTTTAATATTATTAAAAATATAATAAACATAATAATAAATACGAATAAAATAATTTAATTATTTCAAGTTAATAATATTATAACTAGGTGAGTGGGGAAAGTTTGAATTGTGGGTAAAAGCTGCATCTGTTTGTTGGGAAAAGGAAAAAGGTTTGTTCGTTAAATGGTATGAATGTTGGGAATATAGGTTAGGATTATTGAATTGAGATTTTGAATGAGAATGGGATTGAAGTGTAGCTTGGTTGTAAGGTTGGTACAAAGGTTGAAACTGTTGTCTTTTTGGATGTTTAGGATCAGGTTGTGAATGAGTGTGGGATTTAAATTCATTTTCAAATGGCTGTTGATACAGAGGTTGAGATTTTTGTCTTATTAGCGGTGTAGGATCAGGTTGAGATTCAGATTCATAAAGAGGTTGAGAGTTCGATCTCATTGGCGGTTTAGGATCAGGATGTGATTCATAGCGGGATTCACATTCATAGAGAGGTTGAGAGTTCGTTCTCATTGGCGATTTAAGACAAGGTTGTGATTCAGAGCGGGATTCAGATTCATATAGAGGTTGAGAGTTCGGTCTCATTGGCGGTTTAGGATCAGGATGTGATTCATAGCGGGATTCAGATTCATAGAGAGGTTTTTGTCTTACTAGGGGTTTAGGAATAGGTTGTGATTCAGGGCGGTTTTCACCTTCACATAGAGATTGAGATTTATTTCTGATTGGACGTTTAGAATCAGGTTGTGATTCAGGGCAGGATTCGGATTCATAGACGGGTTGAGGTTTTTGTCTCATTTGACGTTTAGGATCAGGTTGTGATTCAGAGTGGAATTCAGATTTATAGAGAGGTTTTTGCCTTACTAGGGGTTTAGGATCAGGTTGTGATTCATATTCAGATTCATCGAGAGATTGCAATTTTTGTCTCATTGGAGGATTAGGATCAGGTTGAGATTGAGAGCGGGATTCATATTTAGATTGAGGTTGATAGTCAGGTTGGTAAAGGGGTTGATATTGTTGTCGGTGTTGATGTTTAGGATCTGTCTGAGGCTGAAAATACATTTGAGATTCAAATTGAGATTGATGGACAGGTTGAGCTTTTTTCAGATCTTCATGTTTAGAATCATGATGAGATTGATATTGCAACTGAGATGGAGATATAGATTGTAATTGTTGTTGATAGCGATGTTCATAGAGAGGTGCTTGTTGTTGATGTTGTTGTTCCTCGTTTAATTTTACTTTTTTGTTGTTTTGTAGTTCCTTTTTTCCCCATACTTCCTTTTATTAGAAGCCACTTTGTTTATATAATTTATATAGTCAGGTTTGTTTAGCTTTGTACTGTTGCCTAATAAACTCACTGCCCACTCTAAAAGGTAAATTAATTATATTAATTTAAGCATATTAAAGGTATTAAATAAATTCGTATTTCACCTGACCAAAAATTAGTTTCTTATTATTTTTATTATTATACGATATTAAACATAAATGAAGTGAAAAATTTATTAATTTCATATTGGGTATAATTATAATTTGAAGAAATAAATTATTACCGAAAATTGCTTGAAATAATCGATAATTAATAGCTGGGCGACTATTAACTCCTCTTCCAGTTGCACTATATTTTCTTATTTCAGATCCGTAGATTTCTAATAATGTTAATCGCACTAATTTTTTCCAATCAAATTTTCCGTCAGTGTAGGAATTCATTTCAATATATGCCTTAGTTGAACTTTTCATGTAAATGCCCGATTCTTTACCAATTTCTACCTAGAACATATATATTTCATTTATTTATTAAATAAACAGAAGTTTACATTAGAAATACCTAGGTTATCCTCTATTCTCTACTTAATAATTTATTTTTTATTTTTACCTTGCATTCATTAGGAGTCGTAAATTGTTCTGGAATCTAAAAAGTTAATTAGTTAATTAATGAAAAATTTAGGACTTTAAATTCTATTAATAAATAAATTAATTAATTTACCTTGTAGTTTATTTTTGATGTATTTTTTTGCTCAGAAATGTATACTTTTTCCATCAGTTCTAGAAGCCTTTTGACAAAGATCATATTTTCTACCGAAACTGAAAATAATATATGATGAAAATAAAAAAGTAGAAAAAATACCCACACGGTTAAATGTAACTAAGTAAACTTACCACCACGGGGAAACAAAAATGAAAATTCAGCAGCTGCTATATTGGATTCATTATTTTTACAATTTTTGGTTTCTTTGTCTTCAATTACTTTATTATTTTTATTATTATATTTATCAGTGCCATCCGTATTGTTGTCCTTTTCATTGATATTATTTTCATCATCATCGGTAGAATAATCATCATCATTACGATAACAATCGTCACGATAATAATCTTCGCAATAATAATCATCATTTATTTCTTCATTATTATTATTATTATTGACACCATAATGGGTTGAAAAGTTTGTACAATCAGTGTTTGAAACATAGTGAGAGGAAGTAGTTTCGTAATTTTTATTTAAATTTTCTTTATTTACTGTTGTAGAAGTAAAATTAAAGTTTTGGGCAAAATAATTTCGCTTTTTTTTACTGGCTTATTTATATGAACTGTGTTATTTTTCGTTAATAAACTTTTTTTAGATTCTACTTTTAATAGAGATGGTTTTTTCTTTATTGAGTTAATTGAATGACTAACTCCTTCAATAAGAGTACTCATTTTTAAATCATAAAGTGTATCTGAATTTCTAATTTCCCGTTGAAGTTGGTCGCTAGAATCTTGTCGGGATTTCTTTACTGATTTTTGCAATTTAAAAAGACGTTTTTTTCATCTAAAACTTCTTTTTCAAATACTTTAGTGTTTTTATCACAAATATTGCCATTGGTATCAACCAGAACTTTTTCCAATTCTGTTGCAGATTCTGCAAATAAATATATATATATATATATACACATATTATTTCGGATCATTCATATCATTCGAATCATCTTCCCACCAAACCCCGACTTACCTAGCTGAGCTCTCTCTCTTTCTCATTAGGTCTACTTGAAGGTATACTAATTTAAGGTAGGCAACGAAAATGTATAAGTGACTAAAATTTCTAAAGGTATTTCAGGTATAAATCCTGCTTGCTTACTTTCTAATGCAAAACTTGCAAGACGTCCTCAGTTAGAAATTAACTACATTCGGTTTAGGAACATCGAAATTGACACATTCCTGCATTTATAAAAATTTAGTAGTTAAAAATATTTAATTTAAATATATTAGTTGAATGTACTTTTTCTTAACACTTAACACGCCAAAAATATCATACTTTTAGAGGGAGAAATACAGCGCCAGAAACAATGCGAAGACGAAAATGAAGTAAGTAAAGTATTATTGTCTGCAGCATTAAAGACTTAAAGAAACTAAATTTCCACTCAAGCTTGCACTAGTATTTTAAATAAGCGTGTAATATTACTAAAATATAATGTTACTGTGATATTACTGTAATGTTACTGTACTATAACTGTAATAGGTATTACTGTGATATTACTGTATTAGAAATGTAATGTTACTGTGCTGTTACTGTAATATTAATGAAATATTAATGTTATGTTACTGTGATATTACTTTAATATTAATGTAATATTAATATTTAATGTTAATGTAATGTTATTGTGAGATTACTGTAGTATTAATGTAATGTTACAGTGATATTACTGTAATATTAAAGTAATGTTAATGTAATGTTACTGTGATATTACTGTAATATTACTGTATTATTAAAATAATGTTAATATAATGTTACTGTGCTATTACTGTAATATTAATGAAATGTTAATGTAATGTTACTGTGATATTATTGTAATACTACTGAAGTATTAATGTAATATTAATAAAATGTTATTGTTATATTACTGTAATATTACTGTTATTTTACTGTGATATTACTGTAATGTTACTGTAATACTACTGTAATGTTACTGTGATATAATTGTGACATTACTGTATTATTTATGTAATGTTACTGTGCTATTACTGTAATAATACTGCAATATAACTATAACTATAACTATATATTACTGTAATATAACTGTAATATTAATGTAATGTCACTGTGATATTTCAGTAATATTACTGATATATAACGTGCTACTTGTTTGAGTAAGGAGAGAATCAGTTAAAAAATTATATTTCTAAAGAAGTAGAGAGTGGTTACTGTTTTAACGCATAAAGTCGTAATAAATATGATTTTTCACGTGTAGGTTAACTGTCATATAAGAGATGACAATCAAGCTGAGAATAATTTAATTGATCATATGACAAATAATTTAAATCAAGATAAAAATGAGCAGCAAAATCCTAATACGAGTGAAAGTGAAGAAGAAATGGAAGTTGATTATTCTAATCCATATTTTAATCAACAACTTATAAATGTAGATCATAACGAAATGGAGACAGATGAAGCAGACGATGGTGCAGTAGATGAAGGTGAGAAAGATGACGAAGAGGAAGAAGATTTTGAATTTGACAATGATGAAGAAGAAGCAGAAGAAGAAAAACAGCAAATGATGACGATCATTTATATGATGGTGCACCAATAACAATTGCACAAAGTATGCTTTTAATTTTAACACTTCTTTTAAGACATAATGTGACTCTTTCTTGGTATACAGATGGCGTCCCTGTTTATAAGTCGTCACAAGTTAGTATGTGGCCTTTTTATTTAACTATTAACGACTTGCCATTTAAAGAGCGGACAAAGCGAGAAAATGTAATTTTAGCAGGATATTGGTTTGGTTCACAAAAACCTAATGCCAATTTATTTCTTCACAAACTACATCATCAATTTACTAAATTAAAAAAAGGAGTATCACTCCACTTGCCTGGGGGTCATATAATAAAAGTTTGTGCTTCATTACTAATTGGTACTTGTGATTTAGTTGCAAAAAGTCTTTTTTTAAATATTTCTCAGTTTAATGGAAAATATGGTTGTCCTTCATGTTTGTGCTCCGGTGAGTCAATATTATTAGATTCAGGGGGAAAAACTCGTGCGTATCCTTATGTTGAAAATCCTAAACTGCGAACAATTAAACAATATCTAAAAGATTCTGATGAGGCATGAACTAGAAAAATTCCCATTAATGGGGTAAAAGGGCCGTGTTCTTTAGCGAAGATGATGCCTAATTTTATTGTAGGAACAGCATACGATAGAATGCATGGAATAGATGGTGGAGTTATAAAAAAGCTTCTTACTCTTTGGTTTGATTGCAAATATAAAATGTATGAATATTCTTTGTACCAAGTGATTAACGTAATTGATAAATTATTAATAGCAATTAAACCTCTGAAATTTGTTCACCGTATGCCCCGCAGTGTAGAAGAACTTGTACATTGGAAAGCATCTGAATTAAAAATGTGGTATTTGTATTACGCGTTACCTGTTTTAAAAGAAGTAATGAGACCAGAATTTTTTGAACATTTTTCGAAATTAGTTATTGGTATTACTTTATTAAATGCTGATAAAATAACAGACATTGCGTTAACTAAAGCAAGAAAATTATTACATGAATTTGTTAGAGATTTTGAAGTATTATACGATTTAACATTTTCTTCAATTTATATGCATCTGATTTTACACATTCCTGAACATGTGTCTACCTTAGGACCATTACACAGGCACACAAAAAAAAAAAAGTTGTCTGTTTCTTGAACTACACATATATTTCCTATAGTATTTTGGCCCGCTGAAACCGAATCTGAGGTCAGAATTGCTCCATCACCCTCAGGTTTTTTTTAAATCGACCAAAACCACCCTTAAACGGACAAATTCACACTTCGGAGATAAAAAATAAATCAACTTATTTTTTAGAAAAACCAAATTTTACATCTACGAAACTTTGCTCCACTAACTCAAAAACAAAGCCAGCATTGATCCAGCAACCCCTGAATTTTTTTAATCGAAAAAACTACCCCTAATCTGAAGAATCAAATTCAGGAGGTAAAACAATAAAATAACTGATTAAAAAATTTTATAACCAGGTATTTTTACTCCAGCAAGGCAGAAACAAATCCAGAAATGCTCCCTCAACCTCTAAATTTTTTTTAAATCGAAAAAACCACCCTTAAATAGAAAAATTCAAATTTAAGAAGTAAAAAAAAATACTTTACCGGCTTTTTTTAAAAACAGAACCTTACATCTATGTATTTTCGCTCCACTAACTCAAAAAAACAAAGCCAGCATTGATCCAGCACCCCCTGAATTTTTTTAATCGAAAAAACTACCCCTAATCTGAAGAATCAAATTCAAGAGGTAAAACAATAAAATAACTGATTAAAAAATTTTATAGCCAGGTATTTTTACTCCAGCAAGGCAGAAACAAAGCCAGAAATGCTCCCTCAACCTCTAAATTTTTTTTAAATCGAAAAAACCACCCTTAAATAGAAAAATTCAAATTTAAGAAGTAAAAAAAAATACTTTACCGGCTTTTTTTAAAAACAGAACCTTACATCTATGTATTTTCGCTCCACTAACTCAAAAAAACAAAGCCAGCATTGATCCAGCACCCCCTGAATTTTTTTAATCGAAAAAACTACCCCTAATCTGAAGAATCAAATTCAAGAGGTAAAACAATAAAATAACTGATTAAAAAATTTTATAGCCAGGTATTTTTACTCCAGCAAGGCAGAAACAAAGCCAGAAATGCTCCCTCACCCTCTAAAATTTTTTTAAATCGAAAAAACCACCCTTAAATAGAAAAATTCAAATTTAAGAAGTAAAAAAATATTAAATTACTGGCTTTTTTTAAAAACAGAACCTTACATGAATGCAGTTTTGCTCTACTAATTAAAAAAAATAAAGCCAGCATTGATCCATCACCCTCTGAATTTTTTTAAATAAAAAAAACTACCCTTAATCTGAAGAATCAAACTTAGGAGGTAAAACAATAAAATAACTGTTTAAAAAATTTTATAACCAGATATTTTTACTCCAGCAATGCACAAACAAAGCCAGAAATGCTCCCTCACCCTCTAAAATTATTTTAAATCGAAAAAACCACCCTTAAATAGAAAAATTCAAATTTAGGAGATTAAAAATTAAATAACTGA